GTGATCTTTCCTTTTCTCTTGGGAAAAGAGGTGAAATCAACAGATTGTAACTGTCAAGAAAGTTACATCAAGATCTGTATGTTCCTTTCAACCAGATACATTATTCATATTGCCACAAAGGAATAGAACATGTAACATTTATAAAATTCCTGTGAGAAGTGTCTTCTAGACTTGAAATGATGCTGCTTAACTGTTTACTATCTCTTTTTGGAAAACAGAAAGGAATTAGATCCTGAGTGCTGCCTTAGATGAGGTGAGCAAATGTCATAACTGGCTCATTGTTTCCACTTTAGGTGAGCATTGGTTCAGACCCACCACTGACACAGTCACTCCTTTATCCAGTGAGAAACTTCAGCCTGAGGACCAAGATGGAGTAACCATTTGGTGTAACCCACCCATTAGCAGAGACCTGAAAGCTTTCTACGTGATATCTGAATATGGTTTTGCTTGAGGAATAGAGGAAGCTTAAAAATCCTTTGATTGTTCTCTGTCTCTTGGCATCTGTGAATTTGGATCTCATATTTAAGAGAAGCAAGGACACATTTAGCCCAGAAAGTGGAATGATTTTGCCCAATCCTAAGATATCTCCCTGGAGAAGGCAATGGCAGCCCACTCCAGGACTCACCTGGAAAATCCCATGGACGGAGGAGCCTGGTAGGCTGCAGTCCATGGGGTCGCTAAGAGTCGGGCACGACTGAGCAACTTCACTTTCACTTTTCACTTTCATGCATTGGAGAAGGAAATAGCAACCCACTCCAGTGTTCTTGCCTGGAGAATCCCAGGGACGGGGAGCCTGGTGGGCTGCCGTCTATGGGGTCGCACAGAATCGGACACGGCTGACGCGACTCAGCAGCAGCAGCAGCAAGATATCTTCTCTTGGAGTGCTTTTCCCCAGTCTAGTTCCTTCTCATCATTCAGCTGTTATTTGAAATATCATCTGACAACATTACTTTTAAATACTACCCCTTTACCTGGTTGCTGTGTTTTATTTCCTTCATGGTCTTATTTGCTTTCAGAAATTATTGTGTTTATTTACATTTTGTCTTTCAAACTGCTCCTCCAACCTTTCTTTAGAATTTAAGTTCCAAGAGGGCAGGAGTCTTGGCTATTTTGGTTACCATGGAGATCTGGAACACAGATTCTAAATGAAGATTTTTAAGTTATCGGAAAATAGAACAAATGAATGAATGAATGACAGTAGATTATAAGCCATGCATTTTTTCCTACAGACTCTAGAATGATTGGATTTTCATGTATGAATGAGAAGAATGTTTCAAAGGCAATGAAGTTAGAAGATCTTTCCCAGGTGGTATTTATAAATGATGCTGATGATCAGTTTCCTCTATTCTGGTGAAAAAATTGAGACCATTACCTAACTCAAGAGGCATCTGAACATTTCAGTGAGAAGCCATACTTCTCAAAGGGCAGGACAAAAAGATCCAGTAAATGCAAATCAGAATGTTGTCCAACAGTTGTGTTGTGACAAAGTCAACAAGCAATTCTGTAACACATACAAAATATTTGACAACTCTTAGGTCTCTAATGAAAGAGGTATCTGAGAAGGGGGTAAGCATAGATTTATAAATCATGCAGTGTTTGGTCTGGTGGGTACAACAGCAAACCAATGTTTTAAATCTCACACTTTAAGTAGCAGGAAATAGACTCATGAGGGAAGTGGCCAATGCAAGTTAATACAGGTATATATGAGTGAAAAGACTGACTTAAAACTCAACATTCAAAAAACTAAGATCATACCATCTGGTCCCATCACTTCATGGCAAATAGATGGGAGAAAAATGGAAAACAGTGGCAGATTTTATTTTCTTGGGCTCTAAAATCACTGCGGACGGTGACTGCAGCCATGAAATTAAAAGACTCTTGCTTCTTGGGAAGAAAGCTTTGAGAAATCTAGACAGCATATTCAAAAGCAGAGACAACACTTTGCCAACAAAGGTCTGCCTAGAAAAAGCTATGGGTTTTCCAGTAGTCATGTGTGGATATAAGAGTTGGACCATAAAGAAAGCTGAGTGCCAAAGAAGTGATTCTTTAGGATTGAGGTGCTGGAAAAGACTCTTGAGAGTCCCTTGGACAGCAAAGAGATCAAGCCAATCAATTCTCAAGGAAACCTTGAATATTCATTGGAAAGACTGATGCTGAAGCTGAAGCTCCAATACTTCGGCCACCTGATGCGAAGAGCCAACTCATTAGAAAAGACTGTGGTGCTGGGAAAGATTGAGGGCAGGAGAAGAAGGGGGTGACAGAGGATAAGATGGTTGGATGGCATCACTGACTCAGTGGACATGAGTTTGAGCAAGTTATGGGAGTTAGTGATGGACAGGGAAGCCTGATGTGCTGCAGTCATTGGGGTTGCAAAGAGTCGGACAGGACTTAGCAACTGAACAACAAGGGTCTCTGGGAACTGTTGAATGCTATGAAACAGGTACAATACTAAAAATTATTCACATTATACCAAATAACCAGTATATTCAGTAGTAACAACAAAAAATAACATTAACATTGTTAGTTTGCCTCAATGTAGGCCAGTCACTTGTTTTGGTAGAGCTCTGAATCAAGCTGAGTTGGAAAATGTTCCAAATGCTCATGATTTTCTATCCTAGTAAACAAGTCAGAGAGTGCTCCAGTTGTGAGAACTGGACCATCTCATCACTCATATCTAATTATAGCAATGATTGCAATCAAATAATTAGGGATGCACAGATTACTTCTTGAATAAATTTTTATTTCTTGGCCTTAGTAAAAGAAAAAAAAAGATTTTAACAGATTTTATCTCCAAGATTACTAGATAAATTTTATGTTGTTTTTCAGAAGAATGCTGTCATAGTGGAGCAATTAATTATTTTTTAGAGACATACTTTAATTGGTAATAGAATCCAGGACCTGGTATTCTGAGATATAGGCACTGGTGTCCAGGAAAAATATGCCAATCATAACATAATTCGCTGCAAATAAAAATGAGATCTTACAAATTGTTTTAGAAATCTGTCATTCCTATGGTGCAAATAATCCCAGACATAATGAAGCGGACTTGATAAAATCAGAAGCCCTTTTCTCTTCACTCTGTATCCACTCTATTTTTACAACAGCTTTTGGTTTAATTTAATACATTATTGTAGAAGAAAGGGTCCATTAAACAGCTACAGAAAAGTGAGAATTATGCCCCTTTTAGGTTTTTTTTTTTTGAAGTGAAGCATTCAACAGTAGAGTCCTTTAAAAATGATATTCAAATGATTTTTAATTACTACAAAGGCATTGAGATGTTAATACACTTTCTATAAAAGAGAGGGCTACTATTCTCCTCATCCTTTCCTGCCACGAATTTCAACTCTAAGAAAATTATTTCTTTTGATCCACTCTGATAGCATGTAATAAGAGAACAATAAAACATATGGCTCAATTACCACCACTTCTCATCAAGCATGAATTAATGAGTATCAAATTATTATTAATTGTTTTTTCTGGCTTCCTCTCCATAGGACAGAGATTACACATTGCTGTGTTTTGATAAGCATTTAGTGTTTAACACTTTGTGGACCAGTGTCTAAGAGGAACAGAAGCTTGAAATCATTATACGGAAGAATCATTCTTTACATTTAGCAACAGTTAGAAAATACATGATTATCTTTTTGATCTCCTTAGTCTGTCAGTTTTATATAACTGCCTTAAACTCCCTTAGAATCTCACCCTCTCTCAATGTTCCATATGCTTTCCTTTGAGAAGCAGTTCCTATATGCATATAAAATAGTTTATAAGTGCAATGTCTCAATTTTAATAATTCCACACAAGATTACTGACTTTTCAATTCCTTAAGAAAAAGCTCTTTAAAAATCAATGTTATGGCTTAAGAAGACAAAAAATTAAGTAGCATAGAACAGAATACAATAAATTGCGATCACTATACTTGACCGTATCAATATCATTGAGTATTATTTATAGATGCCGCACAAGAGGATTCTGTGTAACTGACAGTTCATTTTATTTTTATAAGCCATCTGTAAATATAAAGTGCTATGTAGTAGGAATAGGTTTGGCATGCTAAGGAACATGTCTTTTAGTCCATTGCCATTATTTCTCATAGATCATTTACATATCCAGATTTTGAAAAGAAAGCGTAACAAATTATAATATGTAAGCTATACATACCATATGATTTTTACCCATTACCAATAAATGCATGCCTTTGTATTTATAAAACATGTTCTATAAAACTTCTATCTGTAATAAACTAAAGGATGACACCAACATTAAATTGTTTAGATATCCTATCTAGTTCCACATGCTTAACAAACACAGATTCAGGTATCATTCTAAAGGTCAAACAAAAACTTGCTTTAGAATCTGAGAGTTTTGGAGCAGAAAGTGACCTCAGAAATTATTTTATCCATTTCCCTTCATGTTACAGATAATAGCACCAAAATCTGAATAAGTGATTTTCAAGGTCTATAAGTTTAAGTGATTTTCTGAGGTCTATACACCATTATACACTAACACCTTTCTGCCAGACTTTTATCTTTCTGCCAAAATTTCTATGAACATTTCTTTTGCACATAAGAAATGTACATATCTTGCTTGCTTGATAGTTTTGTCAAGATGTCAGTAATATCTGTAAATCCAAATCCCTAGGGAAACAAAAAATGAGAAATTGGCAATCCTGGTCTCTAATGGAAACCATGATGCACACCTAATACTGAGCAGAGATGGACCTGGTCAAGGCTGACAATGCTCACTGCCATCAGAAACATCCTTCCTTTGATGTTGGTAACTAGACTACTTGAATTTTTTATCTCTAAATCTAACCAGATACCAGATGGTTCCTGTTATGTATGTGACCTTAGTATAAGCAATTATATTATTTGTGCAATAGCAGAATTGTTATACAAAGAGTCAGTCATTGGTATAAAGCTTTTTTAGACTACATGTTCTTATAATAAAAATTTTAATTCCTCGATGAATCCTTTCCTCTTGATTTTCATGTGCCAGAATTACTGAATCCACTTGGCTGAAAAATGTAAAGAAAATAAGTTATATATACAAATTCAGTACAAAAATAAGCTTATAACCAAAGTTTTAAAAATAATTATTCATCTGTGTGGGTGGGGGTGGACTAAACAGTTTACTTTTACCATCTACTGCATTCATCACTGTGGCAAGGCTTTTGGTCATACTGTGAATATGAAGCACTGATGCCCCATATTCATATTTATGACACGCTTGAGAGTCATGTCTTGATAACTTCTATGTACTACAAAAGTGCACATAGATAGGGAGGAAGGCACAGAGACATCTGAGTGTTTCGGTAACCACATCTCCTAAACCATTTCATGGACTCTTGGGACTGAAAGTTTTGGAGCTGCTAAGATGCATAGCAAAGCCCCCTGATGTAACATTGATAAGGATCCCGATAAGGCTTCTCAATGAGGAAGAAAAAGGAATATAAGAACGGCTGGGGAAAGAAGAAAATAGAAAGCCAAGTATGAATATAATTAGCTTTGTTCTTGTCATCGATTCTGCAGCCTGATGGAATGTGGGTTTCTGAATATTTTTCAGAGCATTTTCCAAATGTAGCCTTCAAGCACCTCATTAATATCACACATTTGTCATTAAATTCCATATTTTGGATCCCATATAACAACCGCAGATGTTCCTTTTCCATTCGCCACCGGCAGGAAACCTTCCCTTTACACAGTGCTGCTGACCAGCTCCCCAGTATTTATCCTGCTTATTCCATCTACTGACTATTGAAGTAAAAACAAAATGTCAATACTGGCTTTAAAAACTAATCAAGCTTCATAGACTTTTATATTGTACTGTGCACATCTTTTAAATCAACTTTTATAACTTTCATGCTAAGCTTATTGAAAGTATGAGTTAAAAATGCAGGCCCTTAATGTTTCTTCTCACATAATTTATGCTAATTAAGTGCCCAAATTATAGTAACATTGATCTTAAGCTGAAAAAAAAAAAAAACTTAGATGCTATATTTAATATAGAATTGTATACCATTAACTTTAAATTTTCCATTTAAAATTAACATTAAAAGGCATTTAGTATAATAACAAAATTAAATTAAAAAAGTATATTCCAGTGCAAATGTAAAAGATCATTCACAGAAATGCACTTTAATTCTAACAATGAGCTGAGCAAAGAAGATAAATTTTTGTTTGCAAAAATTGGAAAATTTCCTACAATAAATGACCTATGCTTATTCGTATCTATGTCTGGTCTGATATCAGAATAAAATACAAATTTTGACTGATTAAATGAAATGCTAGAATTGTATCTGTAACTGAATTTTTAATATAATTAATAAAATACTTTCCAGTTTTGAAATCTTTCAACAATATCTAAAGTTCATTAATGTTAGTGATAGTTTCTCACAGATCTCAACACTTACCTACAACTTTAGAGTAGCAAGATTCACAATGTATTGTCTGTCTGTAAATCCAAATACTGTCACCTGCTTGTAGGTTTTCCAAAGGTTGTTTGCATATTTCACACTAAAGGAAAGGTATGTATAAAGTTCATATTAGATATGAAGTTTAGATTCTTGGTTAACAGAATTAAAAAAAGAACCTTTTACTTTATTCCATATCATCCTTCATAGCAACACTCTGATAAAGCCTCAAGAGAACTGTGAGAGAAAATAAGAGTATATTTGTCTGATCCACACACCAAACTTTCCAAACAAATTCTCTCAAAAATCCCTCTACTATTGAGGTATGCATTTCAGGGCATACCTACTACTGAAGTTTCTACGTAACTCAAATATAATATAGAGTAGATAAATATTTTCAAAAATTGGTTATGCCAAAGACAAGATCACTGTTGGATATTGCAAACAAGAACACTAAGTGTATTTATTGTTTGCTTACTAATGGAGAGCTAAGCTGTCCAGATATAGTGTCATTGACAAAACAAACTTCTGACTCTGGACACAGTTTAGGGGGAAATTTGTTTCAAGTTATGCTGGTTAAAGAGGCAAGAAAGGCTTGACATCCACCTTAAACCCGGGCTCACTGGAGGAAGTCCACTGCCAACTGGCTGGCTTTCAAGTTCATTGACGCAAATTGTCATAGATCAGTTAGACATGTTTAAGCCAGTTCAGGTAATTCTCTATAATTATGGCTATAGAGTAATCTGTCTTTTCTTAGGAGTGTGGGGATATTTTTATTCTCAGTAGTGTTTTATAATTAAATTGACAATAGAAATAAATCATCTAAAATATAACAAATGGAAATTATTCCTGTTGACCAAAGGCAATAATCAGGAGAATTTTCTTCTTTAAAAAGCTTTGTGCATAATAATTTTAAATAAAGAGCTATAGACTAATTTTTGTTCCACTGAGTAAATTTGAATAACTTAAAGGAAATTTTCCTGTCCTATAATGAAATAATTATGAAATTTTCATGTCATACTTTATATAGAATTCTATATATGATGGCCTAAATTTGGATTTTGTTGCCTCAAAATGAGGCACTGAATTTTTTATTACTTTGTGTCATTGCCTGAAGCTAATTGAAAGAGAAGCAATCAAGTGTTGAAGTATTGGGCTGGCCAAAAAGTTCATAACATCTTATTGGAAAACCCAAATGGACTTTTTTGGCCAGCCTAATATTACATCTACTTGACTGAATCAGATAATTTGCATCAATCATAGAATCTATCAGCACTAGAAAGGACCCATAGATTCAGGCTGTGGTTCTCAAACTGGCTGCCTTTTGGATCTATCTAAGAAGGCTTTAAAAACACCAATGCCCAGAAATCATCTGTAAGATTCATGATGTAACTGGGGCTGGTCCCAAGCATTTTATTCTTCTCATCATCTCCCTGGACAATTATAATGTTCATCCAGGGTTGAAAAACCACTGGTCTAATCAGCTATGTCATTTTACAGATGAAGAAACTTAGGCTAAGCTAATTTAGGTGATTGTCCAAAGTCACATGGCCACAAGTAGTGTCAGTTAGAACACAAACTCAGGTCTTCAGGTTCCTAGTTAAGTGCTCACCTAGTTATACCAGTAACTATATTGTTGACCTACCTAAAACTTCTGTGAAAAGTAAAAGAAATGGCATATGAAGGCACAAATTGTGAAGCATTCTACTATGTACACTTTATTATTATTATTATTCTACTAAGCCATATTTAATTATAATTAATCATGCTCTCAAAGGCAGACTGAGTTTTAACTATTGTTAAGCCCATCAATCCTAATTTTAGGATGTAAGAAGCCAGTAACTTTCTTCTCAAAAGTTTCTTTTCCTTTTTGGATTTCATTATATATTTAATGCAATGTATGATTTATGAAAATGCTGCAAAAACTTTTCTAAAGAGAACAAGTGTTTATCTCTTTATAGATTTAAATCTGTAGAATAAGAGTTATCAACATGTCAGTAATCAACTAAGCCTAAAGTCAAGAGAGTAATTATAAATCTTGGAGTTTCAGGCTGAGAACTCGGAGAAATATTTAAACAGTTCATTATTAATGTGCATGACAGTGTTTCTGAAAGTTTTAACTTCATCTCATAAATTCCATTAGATAATTATTTTTATTCTAGTCATTATGCAATTTTGCATGAGAGTTAAATACAACAAACATAGGCATACCTTGAAGCAAGTCGAATGGCAGCAAATTTGTAATTCATCTAAAATCATCTTGGTTTCCGTGCCCAGGGGTTTTCTACAGTAAGTGCACATGTCTCTCTCAATGACAGACCTATAGAGATGTAAGCAATTAAAAATAAATTTGTCATCATGCAAAAGACAAATGTATTCCCCATAAAATCATATGGAAATAACATGTTAATTTTATTGATACTTTAGTAAATTGTGTAAAAATCAAGGAAAGTTGAGGACTTACTTATCCTAGTAATAGACTGGATTCTTCTAGTTGTTTCAGAATGATATCAAAGAATTAACATAAAAGGCAGTTTCAAATTATTAATTCATTAGCAATCAAAAGTGCATCTGGGCAGGGTAAAGATGTTCACAGTTTCCTAATTGAACTAGGTCATAAGTACCCCCTTGAAGCTAGAAGAGGGTTTTAAATTATTAATGTACATATATCATAGAAAAATTAGGTTGAAGATTAATATAAAAATTTAACTCTTAGACATTCAGTAGTACAAAAATAGAAATCCATTCAAGAATGTGTTGGTAAACTCACAAATGATGGATACCCTGGACTATAGGGTCCAGAATCATCAAAATGCTCCCTTGCTGATTCTCTTGGTGTCATTGCAAGACTCAGAATATTAGGGTGACTTTAGTGACAAAAATTCTTTTCTATTTACTTTGGAAAAATAACGTTCAATAATAAATAAGTGATCAGCAAGTTCTAAAGCCCTTGAGTCACATTAGAGCCTTAAGAAAGGGCTAATAACTATGTGATTCTTATTCTTTTGGAAGGTCTTAGATAGTCTTAAATAGCACCTTGGGCAGTGTTTACTAGTCTCAGTGTGTTAGCATAAAAGGAAATTTCCAAAGTACTGGGGTAATGAAATAAAATAGCTAATACTTATAGTGCTAATATGCTTAACACGTGCAGCGCATTTTCCATGCACTTTGCTAATATAAACCTATTCTTCATAACATCTCTGAGAAGCAGGTAACTCTTATTTTTATCTTTGTTGTACACAAGAGGAAGCTGAGGCATAGAAGGGTGAGTCCTGCAGCCAGTGAGTGGCAGAGGCAGGATGCGAATGAAGGCAGACGGCCACAGGGCCATGTGCTGCCTCTGGCCTGCCCGTTGACTGGGCTCACTAGATGATAAGGAGCTGGTCATGGCCAGAAACCACGGTCAATCCTATCATCAGGACCAGGACTCGAAGCAGAGAGGAGGGAAAGTGGACAGCAGGAGGGGGTAAGAGAGGCTTCTCTCTCCACGGACTTCTCCAGACAAGAATCCTGGAGTGGGTAGCCATTCCCTTCTCTGGGGGATCTTCCTGAGGCAGGAATCTAACCCTGGTCTCCCACAGTGCAGGCGGATTCCCTACCGACTGAGTCCCTGGGGAAGCCCATACGTATGTACACACAGGCTTAAATTTCCCCTATTAGACTATAAGCTCTTCAAGAGTAGAAAGCAGGCACTCTCTAGCATCCTTGCATTCCAGAGACACTGAGAGAGGAGCTGGGAATATAAAGAAGAGTGAGAAGGTCTCCTTCAAGGAGAAGCTTTCTTTCCCCTGGGGTAGCCAGGTGACTGGATAATGGCCATGTGTTATGGACGTGTGAAGAGTGAGGAGAGCACAGCCAGATGGACAACTCATCTCTGGGGTAAAGTAGGAAAGGCTTGTCAGCTTAAGTGCCAGGTGAGTTAAAGCTTGAAGGTGAAGGAGCTCTCAAAGTGAGCGGGGCAGAGGCGTGATGGAAGGGTTCTAAGCAGAGTGGACAGGACGTGCCAAGGTGAGACACGATGAGGGTGGCTGGAGTGGTGGATCTTTAGTCACTAATCAGGAGGACATGGTTCTGAAGGCCCATAAATCCTGTGCAGAGGACTTCCGTCTTTATCCTATAAAGTGGCACTGACCACTTTATTGTGTGTGTGTGAGCTTAGACCACAGCACTTTTAGTGCATTTTCCAATACAATCATTATTATAAACTTAATATGCAGAAAATGATTTGAAACCACTTAAAGTGATGAAAGTACATATAACATGACTTAAAACTCAAATTTATTAAGAATTTAAATTGTGATCATAAATTGAAGCAATGTTTAGTTCCTGGGTACAATTAGGAAGAAAACATACTCAATTTAGTGTTTGTCCTAGTACTGGGTCTCTTAGTCACAAATTTTCATACCCTAATAATTTAATGTGTGTGCATGCTCATTTGCTCAGTTGTATCTGACTCTTTGTGACCCCATGAACTGTAGCCCGCCAGGCTTATCTGTCCATGGGATTTTTCACACAAGAATACTGAAGTGGGTTGCCATTTCCTTCTCCAGGGGATCTTCTTCACTCAGAGATCAAACCCATGTCTCCTGTATCTCTTGCTTAGGCAGGCAGATATTTTTACCACTGGGCCACCTGGGAATCCCTTATTTTATATATAATAGTATATATATGTCAGTCCCAATCTCCCAATTTATCCCTTCCCTCCCTTATCCCTTGGTAAATTTGTTTTCTACATCTGTGACTCTATCTTTATTTTGTGGATAAGTTCGTTTGTACCCTTTCTGATTCCACATATGAAAGACACCATAGATTTGTCTATGTCTGACTTACTTCACTCAGTTGATAATCTATAGGTCCATCCATGTTGCTGCAGATGGCATTATTTTGTTCTTTTTTATGACTGCATTAATGACTTGACTTTAAATGGGATTGACGTGATTAGATAAGAACTATGGGGAAACAGCTAATTTCTCAGAATAATCAACAGAAAATGTTACCTGACTGACTGGCTTTAATGGAGAATTGACTTTTGCTCTGGTGACTGAAAAAATTTCAAGGACCACTTGGAGAACAGGAGTGAAATCCTTCATACAAAGAGCAATACTTTAGTGAAGGATGTTTTCCTTCACTTAGGCTAACCATTAAAATATGCACCCACCAAACTCTGAAGTTGCTGATGTCCTTACTAAGATCATACTGTTAGTTGAAGATCTTTTCAGAGTATTTTGAAAAATCTAATTCTGGTTTTTTTGGGGTTTTTTTGCTTATCTAGACAGTATTTGTGGTGCTCAGGTAGTCACATCAAAGAGCTATGACTTAAAGGCAAGACACTCAGAAGACCCTTGGTAATACAAGATCTCACAAAAGTGACCAAAAGAGGATATAATTTTGATGCCTGGTTCATCTATGTTTCCCTTAGCAAATGGGACATAAGTGTGTTTTTTTTTTTTCTGGAGTCATTTATTGAGTATCTGTGGGGTGCCAAGGACTGTGTTCCAAGCTGAGGCTGTGCATAAAAATATGTCCTGACCCTCAGTGAGCCTTGTTTCAGCACCAGCGATACAGAAACACCGTCAACAGAATATCAGACATTTGCCTTACAGCTGGTTTCCAGTGGTTGGGTTGCAACATGAATTATTTATTTGCATTTTCTCTGCTGGAAGTCTGCAGACTTGTGTCACATGGGTGTCACCTATTTGCCCCACTGAGCATTACATGCTAAAAGAGAGTAATCAAGAGCAAAAGCCTGGGGTCAGTTTACTGGCACTAAACTGATGCTCACCCTAACCCTCCCTCCTGGGCACTGAGCCCATGCCTGGAGTGGGTCACAGAAAGTGCATCCACGCAGCTGTTTGTAAGATGAGCTGGCTCTAGAAGACCACAAGGAGAGAGGGCTGAGGACACGATCTAGGGATGCAGGGAAGCCTAGAGGCTAATAATGTGGTGGCAACGGGGACTCCAGGGATCACCTACAGCCGAGACACTCGCCTAGGAGATAGCTGGAAAACACAGAAAGCTCTCCTGCAACAAAGTACATCAAAATCAGAGAACGACAGCCAAGAAGCCAAGGAACAAACTCCTGGGTGCAGAGGTGGTTGTACTTCTTCCACTCACACAATCAGCAGTAGAACAATCACTCTCAGGAGGGCCATCTCCAAGTTCAATGGACAATAAGAATGCTATATATATATATATATATATATATACATATATATATAAAATATATGTAATACTTGTAATACTTTAGTGTATAATAGTATATATATTAAATACTTATAATACTTTAGTGTATATATATATATATAGTATATATATATATACTTGTAATACTTGCAATCCTTGTAATACTTTGGTATTGCAAGTATTTGGTAATACTTTGGTACAAGATATATAATACTTGTAATACTTTAGTATATAATAGCATATATATATAGTATATATATTAAATACTTGTAATACTTTAGTGTATATATATAGTGTGTATATATATATATATATATATACTTATAATACTTGTAATACTTTGGTATATATATATACTTGTAATACTTTGGTATATATATATATACTTATAATACTTGTAATACTTTGGTATATATATACTAAAAATATATTAAATATATATTATAAGTAAGTACATATACACATATATAATAAAAGCATCTTATTTATAAAAGTAAATACACACATATATATATATCCCACAAGGCTCCTCAGTCCATGGATTTCTCCAGGCAAAAATTCTGGACTGGGTTACCATGCCCTCCTCCAAGGAATCTTCCTGACTCAGGGATCGAACCTGGAATTCCTGCATGGGCAGGCAGATTCTTTACCGTCTGATCCACCAGGGAAGTCCAAGAATGCATATGTTTATTAATATATGTGTGGATATGGGTATATATATATATACTTGTATGTATGGAAGTACAGATACACTCACCTATCTGAAGTTGAATAAACAGTTTGTATGTATTTTCCAGAGACAGTCTCCTGATATCCATCCTTGGGTGATTTGCTAGAAACAAGCACATATGGACATGTGAGAACTGGGCTATTTCCCTAGTGTTGAAGTATTGATATATATTAATACACCTATGTAGGCAAGGAAGCGCGCACACACACACACACACTATTGTTATTCTTTGTGATGTTATATGTCAGGACAATGTACTAACTTGTTTTTTTTTAACCTGGAGAAGTATTGATATGCAAGTTACCTCCAAGGTGACATAAGTCGACATATCCACCAAAATAAAGAATGGAGCAAGGAGATCGCAAGCACAAGTGGTAAGCAGGAATAGTAGTTAGCGTTTTTCATAAAATTTGTACTTGCACCTCCTTTATTTTTACTAAAAGAAAGGTCTCTGCTGTTCTAACATAAAGAATATACACAAAGCACGACTATACTCAGTGTAAGCAAATATAGACAGACATCATTCACATAGAGAAATACTTTTGAACCTTTAGGGGAAACTTTGGAAGCTTTTATTTTTACATGAAAACATCCAAGAATTGTTTAGAATACAGCAAAAAATATTGTAACTTTTGAAAGTCCTCTTTGTTCCCTTTCCGCTCCAGTTAGTAACTGTCATTCGCTCCTGGAGACAAATGAAGAATGCATTGCACTAACTGGCTGCCTGTAATTGCCTCCCCAGTATGCATGCTACCTGGGAACATATGAGGACCGGAAGCAATGTGTTCCTTTATTTCATACAGTGAGGGGTAACTCCACATGCCTCACCTGGGATTTTTTAATGAGAAACTTCTCTCTCCCTCCAAACAACCTACAGGCAGTTGCTGTCAGAAAGAGAAATTGCTTTATGGAACACAGAGCCCAGAGTGCTAAGTGAGTTTGTGCATATTGATGCATGACACGTATATAGTCATTCCCATTTTATGGGTCAGAGAATTGAGACTTGAATTGAGACAGGAAATTGAAGTCAAGTGGCTTTGCTGAGGCTACGTGGTCAGTAAATGACAAACTCAGATTTGATTCTAAATCACTGTCGATTTTAGGGAGAATTGGATTAAGCAGGAAAATCAAGATTGAGGTTGCATTTCACAAGGAAATTTTTTCTTGGGTTTGAAAAATCCTTTTGAGGGGGAAGGTTGCTCAAATCCTTACACACCTTGAATTTATGGCAGCTCCACCCCCACCCTGTACACTGCTCTCTGGTCTCTTTGAACTGGATGATGATCAACACGTATACAGCCTATAGTTTATCCATATCTGAATGCCCTAATGTTACCCTATGCCACAATTAGGCTAATTCTTTTTTATAGACTCCTGAAAAACTGAATAACTTGTGAATCCCTGACCTTGGTGGACATTTTCCTCGACATCCATCACATCAGGCAGCAGAGTTTCTGGGCCTGAGCATATTTACTAAAAAGTTATACCTCTTGTTTCAGATTAGAGGTGAGCAATAGAAACACTTAATTAAAGTGTGACTCCAAAATTAGCACAGGAATACTTGTGTGATTTTATAAGGTTCATTATGGGCATGCATGTTTATTTGACTACTTTCAAATAACTATCTTATGATGTATACATGTGTTATATTAATATATTTAGTCTATCCTATGACTTTGTATTATTATTTGACAACTACTTAAAAATATGACTTCCAAAAAAAAAAAATATGACTTCCCTGTAGCTCAGATGGTAAAGAATCTGCCTGCAACACAGGAGATCTGGGTTTGATTCCTGAGTTGAGAAGAGCCTCTGGAGAAGGGAATGGTGACCCACTCAAGTATTCTTGCCTGGAGAAGCCTGTGGATAGAGGACCCTCGTAGGCTACAGTCCATGGGGTTGCAAAGAGTTGGACACGACTGAGTGACTAACACTACTACTAATAATAATGGAAAGATTATAAAGAATTATTAATATATATCTATAACTCAGTACTCTCTTAAATGGTCTGCTATTTGGAAAAAATAAAAAGCATACCTTAAAAAGTGACATTTCTTCTTAAACACAGATTATTTCAAAATTATAAAATATATAAAGCAAAATACTTCAAATAAATTTCCAGTACCTATTCTCCATGTATGTCCTTGTGTACACAACTGTATCCTTTGGTCCTGCATGCCTGGTTTCAGCATTGGAGCTGCAATACAAACCATTTGACTTTATGTTTAAAGTTTGTTTATAGGATAATCAAATTAACAAGGCAATTATCCAATCCAATGAAAAGATAATGCTCATATACACCTTCTAAACTATAACCTTTGAAATATAAATGTTAAATTGGTATTAATCCATTTCTGAAAAATTTATTTATGTTTCCCATTTTGTCTTAACTTCTACTATTTTGGCCTATTTCCAGAATACTACTATGAAAATCAGTCACTCAGCAAGTCTACTGTAGACCATGCAGCTTACTTTGAATATTTGTGTACTATGTTTTAGTGTCTATTACCCTAATGTCTCATCCAAACTTCCAAACCATTGCTTTCCCCACAAATCTCAGACAAAAAGTGGACCTTAATTAACCAACATGATAACACGTGATTCAGTGAAACCTTTAAATCTACCTAAGGATGTCAATGTCAATGTCACAACCATATTTTTTTAAAAATTACAGACTTTCTAAGGAAAAATCACTCCTACACTTATTCTTAACTGACAACTTACCAATGACCAAGATGTTTACTCAACACCTTTGTATAAGCCTATAAAGCCACTGGTTAAAATTAAAAATTTCTGCATTTCAAACAAATATCATATATTAACACATACATATAGAATCTAGAAAGATGATACTGATGAACTTATTAGAAGGGAAGCAATGGAAACACAGACTTAGAGAACAGACTTATGGACATGGGCAAGCGGGAAGGAAGGAGAGGTTAGGACGAATGGAGAGAGTAGCATGGAAACATATGACTAACATAAATAAAATAGATATCCCATGGGAATTTGCTGTATGACTCAGGAAACTTAAACTGGAGCTCTGTAACAACCTAGAGGGTGGGATGGGGAGGGGGATGGGAGGGAGGTTCAAGAGGAAGGGGACATATGTATACCTATGGCTGATTCATGTTGATGGGCTGATTCATGTTGATGTAGGGCAGAAACAAACACAATATAGTAAAGCATTATCCTTCAATTAAAAATAAATACATTTAAAATAAAAAACTTTTATTGGAACACAAAAAATGCATAAAAACAACAACAGCAAAATTTTTAAAAATTTCTGCATTTTAAAGGAAGGATCAGGTTCCATGTGGATGTTTTCTTAAAAAAAAAAAAAAAAAAACAGGAGAAAAAAAGCCAGAAAGAGAATGGTCCTGTCATTTATTCTCTAATTGACCACAGTACCTGAGTGTCTTCCTGGCTTCACGAGAATAGGCAGCTGTTCTAGAGGATGGGCTGATTAAAGCCTCAGTGGATCCAGTGACCTGGCCATCTTGCCTGAGAAAGCAAATGCAAATATTTGGCACTTAAAATCAAAGCCACTTAGAGGATTTTTGTTTTATTAAAATTCTGTTCAAACAACACTTTTTTAAACATACAGTAAAGCTGTTTCTGTTTGCCTGGTTTCTGCACATATACACAGACAGAATACATGTACTATTATACTCTTCCATAGACACAACTGTCTTCCCATTATGAATAATCTATAGGCACATGTCACATTATCTAACAGTAGGATAATACTTTCTTAACCAAGGGCAGAAACCATATGAAACTAGTTGCAGTAACATTCTCACAGCACCAATGCCAATTTTGAAAGTTTTTCATGTACAACATATCTGGGAGTTTATCTATTTAATGAAAATTATCTGGGGGTTGCTTTGAGAAATTCCAGTTTCCATTTTAACAGAAAAGTAGTACTTTGAAGATCGCTAAAGAACTTTGACCTAGATTTCTGCTAATCTAAAAATGTCACTATGCTCAACAAAGTGTAGGCATATTTGCTTTTTCCCATGAAACAGTGGAAAATTAACATAGGCATATTGAAAGCTTTAGCTCTTTTTCTTTCCCCATGTTATAAAACTCTGACAGAGGCAAGACATAAAAATCAAGAGGAGATTTAGATCTTAATCATGATTTATCATTCTTGACTGGCCTGTTCCTGCCATTTCCAGGTAGCTTTTAAAGAAGAGAAAAACAATTGTTCACATATTATCATCTCTGGCATGTGGAAAACCATCTTCTAGTTTTAAGACAGATGTTTCAAAAGACACTTGGCAATGAGAAAGTAGAATGAATATTATTAGAAGATTCTCAAATGTGATCATTAGAATACGTCATTTCAGAACAATAGACCTAACTAGGAACTATTTGGAAATATTCGGATCATATAGTAAATAATACAAAACACAATTTTAGCAAATAGTTTCAAAAGGCAAAGGTTGTCAATGAGTGTGAAATGTGTTTGTACTGCCCTCAGCCAGTTTGTGAAACCTGCAATAGGAACGGAAATACTTTGCAAACAGTTCTGATAAGGATTGAACTGTGTCCTGCCAAAAATTCTTATACTGAAAAAGCCCTATACCCCAGTGTGATGTGGAGACAGGGCCTATAAAAAGGAAATAAAGGTTAGGTGAAATCATATGGGTGGGGCTTTAATCCCATAGGACAGGGTGTCCTTATAAGAAGAGGGAGAGGTACTAGAGCTTGCTCTCTCTCTCTCTCTGTGGACACACAGAGGAAAGGCCATGTGAGGACACAGTCAGACACAGTCATGTGCAAACCAAGAAGAGAGTTCTCATCACAAACCAACCTTGACATTGTTCCTTGTGAATCTCATGTTCTTGCTACATCGTGAAAGAACTCAGAGAAAGGTAAGAAGCAGATTTATTTAGAGAAAAGCACACTATACAGACAGAGTGTGGGCCATCTCAGAAGGCAAGAAGAGAGAGGCCCAAAATGTGGCGTGGTTAGTTTTTGTGGGCTGGGTAATTCCATAGGCTAATGAGTGGGAAGGTTATTCCAGTTATTTTGGGGAAGGGGTGGATATTTCTAGGAACTGGGCCACTGCCCACTTTTTGACCCTTTATGGCTGGCCTCAGAACTGTCATGACGCTGGTGGGTGTGTTGTTGAGCATGTGCCAGTGTATTACAATGAGCATGTAATGAGGCTCAGGGTCTGCCGGGAGTCGAGTCTTCAGCCATCTTGGATCTAATTGGTTTCAACCAGTTTTTTCATGTCCTGTGGCCATGTCATTCTTTTTAAGGTTGTACCCTGCGCCCTTCCTCCTGTTTCAACAGTATCTTGATCTAGAATTTTAGTCTCCAAAAGAGTGAGAAAATAAATTCTGTCTTTTAACACCTGGTGTGTGGTATTTTGTTATGGCAGCCTGAGCAGACTAACACAAGTAGCATTTCCTAGTGGTGTTTTCGATAATACTAATGACAATAATTTATAATTGTCAATAAAAATCAGATGTTAGTAAATAAATTTGGAATGTGGAACAGCAAATTCTGGGATTGGTTCCTCTTGTAATTTAGGAGGATAATACAATTTTTAAAAAATAAATCTTTTATTTTGGATAATCTTAAAGGTATAGAATAATTGCAATGATAGTTCAGAGAATTCCAGTATACTCTTCACCCAGCATCTCTTAATTCTAACATCTCACGCAACCATGATCCATTTGTCAAAACTAAATAATTAGCGTTGGTACAATGCCATTAGCAAAACTACAGACTTATTTCTATTTTACCAGTTTTTTCACTGATGTCCTCTCTCAATTTCAGATCCAAATCAGGATACTACTTCCACATAATCACCATGTCTTAGGGTCTGTGATAGTTGATAAACCTTTCTTTGTTTTTCATGAGATGGTGACAGATCTTACTAAGGAAATTCTATCTTGATGTCAGTAAGCGGTAACACTAATTTTTTAAATTATTTAGAATCATAGAAATAGTTAGAGAAACAATTCTTTGGAAACCAATTAAATAATCTGTATGCTTTTAAAAGCGTTTTTAAAAAGGATTACTCTCCAAAATATATAAGCAGCTCATACAGTTCAGTATCAGAAAAACAAACAACCCAATCAAATCTGGGCAGAAAACCTAAACAGACATTTCTCCAAAGGCATACAAATTTCCAATAAACACAAGAAAAGATGCTCAATATTGCTCATTATTAGGGAAATTCAAATCAAAACTACAATGAGGTATCACCTCACACCATTCAGAATGACCATCATCCAAAAATCTACTAAAATAAATGTTGGCGAAGTTATGGAGAAAAGGGAACCCTCCTGCACTGTTAGTGGGAATGTAAACTGATACAGCCATTATGGAAAACAATATGGAGATTCCTTAAAAGACTAGGGAAAATCTACCATATGATACAACAATCCCACTACTTGGCATATACCCTGAGAAAACCACAATTTTAAAAGACACATGTAGGATATCTTCCAGCAAACAAAAGTCCAGGATCAGATGGCTTCACAGCTGAATTCTACCAAAAATTTAGAGAAGAGCTAACACCTATCTTACTCAAACCCTTCCAGAAAATTGCAGAAGAAGGTAAACTTCCAAACTCATTCTATGAGGCCACCATCACCCTAATTCCAAAACCAGACAAAGATGCCACAAAAAAAGAAAACTACAGGCCAATATCACTGATGAACATAGACGCAAAAATCCTTAACAAAATTCTAGCAAACAGAATCCAACAACATATTAAAAAAATCATACACCATGACCAAGTGGGCTTTATCCCAGGAATGCAAGGATTCTTTAATATCAGCAAATCAATCAATGTAATACACCACATTAACAAATTGAAAGATAAAAACCATATGATTATCTCAATAGATGCAGAAAAAGCCTTTGACAAAATTCAACATCCATTTATGATTAAAACTCTCCAGAAAGCAGGAATAGAAGGAACATACCTCAACATAATAAAAGCTATATATGACAAACCCACAGCAAACATCACCCTCAGTGGTGAAAAATTGAAAGCATTTCCCCTGAAATCAGGAACAAGACAAGGGTGCCCACTCTCACCACTTCTATTCAACATAGTTTTGGAAGTGTTGGCCACAGCAATCAGGGCAGAAAAAGAAGTAAAAGGAATCCAGATAGGAAAAGAAGAAGTGAAACTCTCTCTGTTTGCAGATGACATGATCCTCTACATAGAAAACCCTAAAGACTCTACCAGAAAATTACTAGAGCTAATCAACGAATACAGTAAAGTTGCAGGATATAAAATTAACATACAGAAATCTCTTGCATTCCTATACACTAACAATGAGAAAACAGAAAGAGAAATTAAGGAAACAATACCATTCACCATTGCAACAAAAAGAATAAAATACTTAGGAGTATATCTACCTAAAGAAACAAAAGACCTATACATAGAAAACTATAAAACACTGATGAAAGAAATCAAAGAGGACACAAACAGATGGAGAAATATACCGTGTTCATGGACTGGAAGAATCAATATTGTCAAAATGGCTATACTACCCAAAGCAATCTATAGATTCAATGCAATCCCTATCAAACTACCAACGGTATTTTTCACAGAACTAGAACAAATAATTTCACAATTTGTATGGAAATACAAAAAACCTCGAATAGCCAAAGTAATTTCTTGAGAAAGAAGAATGGAACTGGAGGAATCAACCTGCCTGACTTCAGGCTCTACTACAAAGCCACAGTCATCAAGACAGTATGGTACTGGCACAAAGACAGAAATATAGATCAATGGAACAGAATAGAAAGCCCAGAGATAAATCCACGAACCTATGAACACCTTATCTTCGACAAAGGAGGCAAGGATATACAATGGAAAAAAGACAACCTCTTTAACAAGTGGTGCTGGGAAAACTGGTCAACCACCTGTAAAAGAATGAAACTAGAACACTTTCTAACTCCATACACAAAAATAAACTCAAAATGGATTAAAGATCTAAATGTAAGACCAGAAACTATAAAACTCCTAGAGGAGAACATAGGCAAAACACTCTCCGACATAAATCACAGCAGGATCCTCTATGACCCACCTCCCAGAATTTTAGAAACAAAAGCAAAAATAAACAAATGGGACCTAATGAAACTTAAAAGCTTTTGCACAACAAAGGAAACTATAAGCAAGGTGAAAAGACAGCCCTCAGATTGGGAGAAAATAATAGCAAACGAAGCAACAAACAAAGGATTAATCTCAAAAATATACAAGCAACTCCTCCAGCTCAACTCCAGAAAAATAAATGACCCAATCAAAAAATGGGCCAAAGAACTAAACAGACATTTCTCCAAAGAAGACATACAGACGGCAAAAAAACACATGAAAAGATGCCCAACATCACTCATTATCAGAGAAATGCAAATCAAAACCACAATGAGGTACCATTACACACCAGTCAGGATGGCTGCTATCCAAAAGTCTACAAGCAATAAATGCTGGAGAGGGTGTGGAGAAAAGGGAACCCTCTTACACT